AGGAGCAAAATCTTTAATTTCTATGTATTTGAATATTTTTAAATTTTGGAATCAACCTATAGACTGATCATTAATAACTTCTCAGTGACTACAAAATAGGATTAAATGTTTTCAGCCTTGAGAGTGTAAAAGAAAATGTACAGCTGACAGAGTTGGAAAAGTAGACGTGGAGGGAGCAAAGATCGAAGGACAAATATCCTCATTAAACAAAGTACAAAGTTAAGAGATACAGTCTGTGGTTGATAGGACAGGAAGTGAAGGTTTAAATATGTTGTTGGACTTCGTACTGTATTGTCAGGCGAAGTACCTATGTGTTGGTCTGCTATACTTCTTTATTTTTAACTACACAAATGTATTACTTGAATTGGCGATTAAAGAATTAATCTTCGTGGAGTCTCTAAATTAGTTTATCCCTTAGTTTCCAGGCAGGTAAAATAATCCTAGAACTAGAACTACTAGTATTTTGATAACTTTTTAAAGAGAAATCACTCTGGAAATTTTGTTGGATGTTATATCTTTCCACTGTATGCCTGGTTCTTGTTTTACTAAGCATATTTTGTTGATCCAACATTTCTTATTTTTCCCCAGACTGAAGCAGCTAAATTAGTTCCAATGGGTTTCACTACCGCAACTGAGTTCCACCAAAGACGTTCTGAGATCATACAGATTACTACGGGCTCCAAAGAACTTGACAAACTACTTCAAGGTGCAGTCACTCTGCGTCCTGTGCTGTGAGCTGCAGTTAGCGGAGCACCCAGGCTACAGAACACAGCTGAACAAAACATGTTTGGTTTGGGCTTATGTGTTAGATAGAATTAGGAAATAAAGCAGAGTATTCACACTGAAGAAGACCGACCACTGCACATTGGGACTTGACTTACAGAGTACAAAAATTGGCAGTATCAAATACTGCCAGTTAAATAATTTAATCTGTTTAATGTTATATTCAGAGAGTAAGGTCCCTCTGCCTAAAGAAATAATTATAACCTACTCTACCACAAGGCAGAAAATCTGATGACTGGTTAAAACACTCCATGTTTGAACACTACATTTAGTATCAATACATGGTAGTACACACTAATCTTCAGGACTTTATGGAAAGCTGTAAGGTTTTTGAACTTTTGAAAGCATGGCTATCGGAAATTTTTGCAGAGTTAGATTTGGTTCTTATTGCTTCCCTAAATACTTGATCTTCCAAATTTCCTTTTTTTAGGGTGCATATTAGCATGGGTTCAGGAATCATACTCAAATTTGAGCATTTGCGCTTCCTCTTGTTCCCCCTGCCAGCACTTACTGACTGTATTACGTGGTGCAAATTTATTACTATTTTCTGTTGCCTCAGTTTTCTTTATGAGGACAGAAAGACTTCTTACCTTATAAGAAATTAAATGAGTTGATACATATAGATATATAGCACAATGCCAGATATACAAGAGACATTTAGTAAATATTACACATTATTTATCTTTTTTTTTAAATGACTGCTTATTTACTTGTGATGGTATAGTTCTGCATCTTGATTGAGGTGATAGTTACATGAAGCTACAGATGTGACAGAAATTGCAGAGAACTACACACAAATGAGTGCATATGTAACTGGAGAAATTTGAATAAGCTCTATGGATTGTATCAAAGTCAGTTTTCTGATACTGATACTGTACTGTAGTTATGTGAAATGGTAACACTAGAGGAGACAGGATGAAATCATGAGAACTTCCTGTGCATTTCTTTGCGATTTTCTGTGAGTAGAATTATTTCAAAATAAAAAGTTTATTGTAATCACTGTTGGAAATTGGGTTTCTAAATTATGTAAACATCTTTCTGATGAGCTCCTAGGACATGTCTATGATTATCTCTAAACATTTGTATTGTGCTGAGAAGTGTTTCTCACTGCTCTTTTAGGAGGAATTGAGACTGGATCCATCACAGAGATGTTTGGAGAATTCCGAACTGGGAAGACCCAGATCTGTCATACTTTGGCTGTAACATGCCAGGTGAGCTGTTGGGACTCTAATCAGATCAGCAAGAGTGAGTTGATTCCTGCTATTAGCAAGCATCTGTTAGCATGGACAAAAAAGGGCACTTTCTCTGTCTTCAAGAATGCTATAGCTACTTAGAAGGTAGACTCCTACAGTAGAACTTCCACAGCATAGAAACTTTCAGATATTTTCTGAATTTCACATACTTTCTTCCATCTACAAGGCTTCTCCAGGCTTCACCTGCCCTCTTCATTAGTCTAGATTTTGATTCATCATTAAATGATTCTTCATTAGAGTCATTCCTTTACAAATACCTGCAGACCTACATCTCCCATCCAAAGAGATGCCAGTCTTAGAATTTATTTCAGTGCCTAGTCCCAAATAGCTGATCATCCTGGAGGAAAATACTAACATAATTTTGATTGTCTTCCCTTTAAATTCAAGATGACAGACTTTATGTTAACATTCAGTACTGCTTGGCAGATCTACTGAATTTCTCCATTTAGGCAACCTTTTCCTACTCAGTAAGACACTTATCTCATACTTTGTCCTTTCTCCTCAAACCTTCATGCTTCTCTTCAACCCTCACTTTCAGCCAAATGACCTAATCTGTTCTTCACATCAAATCTGTAAATCCACCTATCTTTATACCCATCTTTTCTTATTTTGGTTTACAGTAGAGAAAGTGTCTCCTTTCCTCTCAGGGGCCCATCCTACCAGTGTCAGCTGGTTACCAGGTCTTGCCACCTTTTCAAGGGCTGTACTTCCGTTTTCTGTTCTACCTCTCTATTAGATTATCTTCATTGGTATACAAACATGCCTGTATCTCCTCCATTAGGAAAAAACTTTCCCTGGACCTTTTCTGTTTCTTCCTTTACTTATGCTCCTGTTCATGGACACACTTGGAAACAGACACAGCAAGTTAAATAATTGCCTAAGATCATACTGCATTTAAGTAATAGATACAGGAATCAAACCAGACTTCAGAACCCATGCTCTTAACTTTTCATAAAAGTAGTACCTGTACTGGCTTGTTCTCTGCTGTATTGCTAGTGCCTGAGTCAGTGCTTAGTCAATACTTGAATGGCTGGAGATGACAGAATAGATGTCCTAAGACATACCTGATATATTATAATCAAGTAAAAGGTATAGAGGTAGTAGCATAACTGTTTAAGGAAGAGACAGGATTACTTCACTCCAGAGTAATTGTGGAATACCTTATGGGAAAAAGAGATTGGACCAGGCTCCTGAAAAATGCTACATGTGAGCAGGTAAAGAAACTAAAGAGCATTTAACTATAGGGAATGATATGAAGAGAAGGGCAGGGAGGCATAACATATTGAGAAGACAATAAAATAAACCCATTTACCTAGCTCAGAGGTCGTATCTGGGAAAGTTGTAGGAGATAAACCTTTAAAAGGACACAGCAGAACCATATTTTACAAGATCTTAACTGCAGTATAAGAAGTTTAGACTTGATTCTATAAAGAATGGGGGTGATTCAATATTTTTCAACTGAAGAGAAGCATAACCAAATTTCTAGAAATATTCCAGTAGCAACTTGTTGAAAGAACTGAAAGGAGAGGCACAGGCTAAGCAGATTTTTGTGATTATTATAAGTATTAACTATCAGGAGTAAACGAAAATAACACTGAAGAGGTATAGGCAGGTGTAAAGGGGAGCACTTAACTACTGACAGTAAAAAATAGCCCTCAGCCCAACAGTGTATTAATTTGGCAAACTCTAAAAACTATTTGGGAGAGGGAGACAGTTTTTATGGAAAGTTGAGTTCAACATTGGAGATGGTGAGTTTGAGGTGTGATAAGACAACCAAGTGAAAATTTCTAACAGTATTTAGCTCCACATCTGTTAGTATCTCTGTATAGAGAAGTATTATTGGAATCTCTGAACAAGAGAGATCTGTGAGATCCGTGAGAGAGCACTAGAAGAGTAAGTGAATGAGCTTTTCTGTTTTACGCCTCCTAGCAGTGTTTTGGGGAGCCCTTTTTCCTCTTTGAGTGGGGTCCTAACATTTCCTCGCTTTAAGGGTATGCTGCTTATCCTGGAAGTGAGTTGTTGGCCTACAAACTACCCTGGAACCTGGCCTGTTCCCATGGGCGGACTCTTGTTATAGTCTTTTGAGGCTTTATTATAGTATTAGGTCTTTTGAAGAAAATGGTATTAGGTCTTCCTTGACATATAATGGGGTAACGTCCTGATAAACCCATCACAAGTTGAAAATATCTTAGGTCAAAAATGCATTTAATACACTTAACCTGCTAAGCATCGTAGCTTGGCCTAGCCTACGGTAAACATGCTCAGAACAG